AACCAACCAACAAAAAGGCCACAAAATTGATTAGAGGCTTCTCATCTGCTTTGGTCCTGAGTGTTCCAGGAGCTCTTTGGTTTGGTTTCTTTTAACGGAGGAATGCTCTTTCAAAGACCGTATGCCGTGCCTCCTCTGCAAATCTAGACCAGCAGGGCGAGAGCGGCCTGCGTCCATGCCCAGGGTCCCTGGAACCCGAGGAAGTGCGGCTCACTGGCTGGCTGTTCCTTCCCACGGCAGGTGAAACTGTGTGCTGGTGGGGAAGGCAGGCAGGGCTTAGTGCGCAGAGGCAAGCCCAGATGGCTGCAGAAGCCCTCTCCTGGTAGTGCTTAGAAATGTCAATGGGGCGTCCTCTTCCTGTTCCTCCCCAAGGTCAGTGTCAGTGATCAGTTTGGAACTTTAGGTAAATGTGTTCTTTTCCAAATTCAAAGAGTTATCATGTGCTAGAGAAGCTCAGCTTGGGCTTCAGTGATTGCTAACATTTGTGGAAATATTTGAAAAACAAACACAAGAAAACCTCGGCCTTAATGTCAATAAATAAGTTGTGCCTGTTAAGTTTAAGTGATTTTTTTTATAGAATCGTCTGTTAGAAATGTGTGGCTGCATTTAGTTTCCTATCAGTGGGCTTTAAATTGTATAGCAAGTGAAATATATGCCATTGATGACTAAAAGTAGGTCAGGGTAAAGATTAGGTATTTTAGGTACATTCTAGACATCATAGGAAGATGACAAAAATGAGAGGATTATTTCCTGTTCTTCCGCAGCAGATTGTCTATCCGGTGCTGCCATTTTGCAGACAGCTGGTTACAGGTGACTGAGGAAGAAGGTTCAAGATAGAGGGATAGTGTGTTTAGAATGTGACTTTCCTGCTTCTGAGAAACACAAGGCGGGAAGCAGACGTAGTGGCAAGTGTGGCAATGTTTACTCTCCCTTCCTGAACTGTTCTTGCTCTGTTCCTCAGAGAGGACAGAGGATGCTGAGCTTCAGGTTATAGAAAATTTCTGCAACTTAGCTAAAGACTAGGAGAGTTCCCTGCTAAGTAATTAGCAAGCATTTTTGACCTCATTAATGAGTAAAAGAAGCTCTCAGTGAATTATGTGTTGCGTTTCTGTGTGGCCAAAGCCCCCAATGGTGTCAAATGCCACCTTAGCTGTGCTAGAGTTGTGTTGTAGGCATTAGTCAGAGAGTTGTGAAGAGACCTCAGTGCTCGTGAGGGACCCCAAAATATCTACCAGAAAAATTACACTTGCAAACCTCGTGATGTGTACGTTGCTCAGTATGCTTTATTTCTCATGTCCTTAAAGTGCTTACTGTTGCCAGCATTCGGGAATTGCTGGACCATTGTGTGACTCCGAGCCTCTGCTCAGGCTTACTTCTCCTTTGTAAGGAAAATGGTGAGTGAAGTTCTCACACTTCCTTACCTTAAAAATCCTTGAGGTTCTTCTGTTTGGAGGAAGCTGAGCCTCCACATGCTCTCTCATATTCTGACCGTTTAAGCAGCAAAGTATCAGTTTACACCAGTTCGTTTCTCACCTTGATGTTGATTGAGAAGTCTTTTGCGGATTAATTAGGCATGAGCCGTGCGGGCCATATTTCTTCAGAGAATAGGACTACTAGAAATGATACACTTGGCCAGGCCTGCTGCCATCCTCCTTTCTCTCTGAGGGTATGGAACTGTGAGGAAGGAGAAGTATTGAGGAAGGTAGAAAATGTTAGTGACTTTAGTGTTTATGAATCACAAATTTTGATGCCTATCTGAAAATGATCAGAGTTGATCTCTGTACTAATTCCATCTATTTGCTAGCTAATCTTAACATTAACCAGAGAGCTCTAGCAATGTGATCTTAACTTTACCCAGAGAATTTGCCGATGTACGTTCATTTCCTCAAGATTTGGCATTAGTCAGGCATGTCGATGTTAGCCACAATTTGGATTTCTCCATAGAATAGTCATACATTTTTTACAGATGAAGTAAATCAAACTTTACAATGCACAAGGGACTGTTCATTCAATGTGCACTTACTGAATGCCTGTGTCAGAAGTTGTGCTAGACATGGCAGGTAGTAAAAATAAGTCTGTCTCCATGGCAGCACGACCAGAGGATACATGAGACTTGACTCTTGTGTCTGATTCAAGTTTGTGATGCCCAAATTGTTGAGTTCTCCACCCGGAGTCCTGGCAGCCCCCGAGACTAGGTTCCCAACCTTGCAGCACCTGAGGCTTGAGATGACTTGTATAAGGTCTTTTTCAACCCCTCAGTATCCCCATCTTTTCCATACCTGCTTGTAGTTCACTTTGACTCTTGAATGTGTCACTTCACTGGCAAAAAACTTCCTTTGATTTCTACTGTTTACAAATAAAACTCAGCCAGTCTTGTTCTGTACCCCAAACGTACTGATAGAAACTGATTTCAGTTTCACAAGCAGTATTTCTGTTCTGCCTTTCTGAAGGTGACCAAGCTTCCAATGCCTGTTCTGCCCATTTTTGTACATTTCTCTATGGTTCCTCAACTCCCCTCTCAAGATAGGGAAGACTGAAGCTTTCCCACTGTCTGCTTCGCTTGCCGGCAAAAATAATCCTAAAAATAAAGCTGGGTGTTGGCTTCCACAGCTTTGCATTCCCTGCTAGCACTCCCATTCGGTTCATCATATCTTTGCCTCTCCAAGACAGACAGGAAGTGTCTAACTACAATTTTGTGGCCTGAGTTTTGTTGCATACCACAGATTGTCTATGTAATGTGTAGCGCACACCTCTATTGGAGCTATTTAATTACTGCTGTTAGTAAGAAATTGACAAAAATATTCATGTATAGCCAATTGATTGTGACGTGCTTGTGGTCTGTGCCTGCTCAGAAAAAACAAACTAACTAACAAACAAACAGTTTTCCAATTATAAATAAATGCTAAAGACGAATACCACTTTCTTGATCTTATTTCCTTGGTAAGGCCCAGCTGAGGAGGTGAAGGAGCTGCTCCCCACGAGAGGAGCTGTGCCCCGCAGTTTTCCGGGGTTCTCCATAATGCACCTTGACTCTTTTAGATTGCCTCTCAGATTCTAATTGCGAGCAGTCAGAGCTAAGTGTTGGGAAAGGCGAAGATGGACCGGGAGACCCACTGGCCAACAAGGTAGTGTAATGTTTTGATCCCATGTTGCTGGGGACGAGTGACCACCTGCGCCCAGCACGTCCTCGCCACACTGGGAGGCTGGGCCCTGACTCTCCATCCCCTTCCTGTAGACCAGGAGGACTGTTGGTTCCGGCTTTTTTCTCCTCCGAAGGAATGGTAGAAATGCCTTCACTTAGTCGTTTAATCTGGTCATTATGGAGGTTCTACCCTCTGGGGCTGGCTCACAGTATAGATTACAGGGGTGAAAGTCTTGTGTGTGCCAAACGTGGGGGTGTGGAAACAGCCATAAGGGAGGTCCAAATAAGGTAACGACAGACCAGGTAGCTGGGAGCTCAGATGAAGGACAGGCTTTTTCCTGCCAAGAATGGAGAATCAGAAGGCTTCACGGGGGAGGGAAGCTTGGATAGTGGGTGGGATACAGGTATGCAGGGCAGGCCTACAGGCAGCAGAACAGATCTGGGTGGCAACCTCAGAGCTCGGGCCAAGTTTGCCCACTTTGATCTTCCTCTGCTAAAGTGGGAGACAAAAGATCCTACATGGGATCCCTCATCCTTTTTCCAACATATGTTGGTTGAATACCTATTATGTGCCAAGCACTGTGTTGGGCACTAGGAAGCCAGGATGACGGAGCTCCCACCTCTGATCGCAGCAGTGCAGGAAGGAGGAATTTGTTCTAGCTGGTCCCATGGATCAGGGAGGACCTCGGTGGATGGGCAGATGATGACCAGGTGGTCAAGGCATGCCGGACAGAGGGAGCTGCATGGTGTGAAGGGGTCCAACGCCAGGTGAGCTCAGGTCCTGAGGTAGCAGTTCGTTCAGGGAAGGTCAAGGCAAAGGCTGTAGAGTGGCAGAGCCCAACCTGGAAAGGCCTGGTGCCATGTGAGTGGGCAGCCACTAACTGGGACCTCCATTCCACACACCCAGACCACACCCCACACCTTTGCATGCTCCCTGCCATCATGCTTCTCACTTTCTCTACATGTTGGGCAACACACCCTCAGGTCCTCTCTTACTTTAGGCTAGGAACTCTAGGCTGTGACCTTTATTCTATTGCCATCCCTTATTTCTGGGTCTTGGGGAGGAGGCTTGGTAGAAATCAGTCAAGGCTTGTACATATCAAAAAAACCACTGTGTATTTGTTTTCCAGATAAACAGAAAAATTCCGCCCACCTGCCTGCTTTTATATGAGGCACACACACACAAAAAAAATACTGTTAAATATATAAAACATACATAAAATATATTATTCAGCTTTCTTTTGATCAATTAAAGATTGTGTTGATCAAAACCAGAGATTGAAGAGTAGAAAGAAAGGCAAGAAAGAAAGAGAGAGAAATAGAGGCAGAAAGGGAGAAAAACACAAGATGGAGACACTGAGAATAACCTGAGAGAAGGTGAGACACACTCAGAATCAGAGTGAGGACAGGAATCAGGCAATGAAGAAGGCAGGAAGGTGGAGAGCCGTACTAGCTCTATCTTTGCTGCCCAGTAGTCAGGGCTCACCCAGAACCTTGCCCTGCACCTCCCACCAAGCTCCCTGATGCCGCCCAAAGCCCAGGAGGTGAATCTATAACTCATGTCTAATATCACTTCCCTAAAACAGCAAACAAACAAAATTAAAAACAGCCCTCTAGTTTTAAAATAGGTCATCATTGCTAAATTGGTTATAAGTGTATTTTAATTCTTCCTTAGTGTTTGTGTGTTCTTAGTGAAATTCTTCTCTCTTTTTTTTCACTCAAATTTAAAAATTTATAACCTGCTTCTCATAGATCTGGGGAGTGTCAAGCTTCATTTCACAAAGGCTAG